CTGTTAAGGAAGGCGGGATCGTTATGCTGATTGGCTGGGACTCAGGAGGCCGGCGCAGCAGACCGCACGCAGTAGGCGGGCGGGAACGTGAAGTCTCCGCAGTGCCTGATGGGCTTGCTCCGAGGAGGCTAGCTGTGGCTGCTGAAGGGTTCCTCGTTGAGCTGCCGTGGTCTCCGCCGCCTCATGGCGGCGATCGGCGTCCACCTGGGCTGCACATCGGCCTGTGTGGCTGTCTACAAGGTGAGACTGGGAAGCTGGCTCCGGGTTTCGTGGCGGCCACACTGTTCTCCGGGCTCCGTGGCACCGGCCCGGGAACCTCGCGTAGGAGCGAGTAGAGATGTTGCGGCTGGTCCTTTACAGCCAAGCCTGCTTTATGGAAGGTGGATGCAGGAGGGATCTCGGGCACTCCGGAATTCCTTCCTGGAAGCTCGGGGCTGCTGTCTCTTTGAGGCGTTCCAGGGACCGGAAGGCCATGGGATACCCAGAGGAGGGGACCTCAAGCCTGCAGGAGGCCGTGGCCATAGGATGACCAAAAGGGCTGAGACGATGTCAGGGCCCTAGGATGTCTGGAGGAGTCCCCGGGGCGGAGGGAAATCGTTCTTACAAAGATTCCTAAAACAAGCCTGAATGTCAGGATCCCCGGGATGCCTGAGAAGTCTTAGTGACAACTGACTGCAGATTCCTCGGGGTCACCGTGACGTCACGGACTCGGGATTCCCAGAGATGGGAGGTCTTTGGAATTTCTGGGCCACCAGAAGCGATGTGGAACTGCAGCCTAGAGAAGGGTACCTAGTTAAGAAGACACTGCTGCACACACTTGATGAATCGGGATCTGAGAACTTGACAAGGAGCTGTGACATCTTTCTCCTGAATAACGAGGCAGAAGGAACAATGACAAGGAATTTACCCATTTCTAGCTCTGGGTTATGTGATTTATAAGTAAAGTCTCAAGGGATTACTGCATTTATAGGAAAGTAGGGGGGAAATATGTATTTGTGGAAGAGTTATGTGTAAGAATGCTTGCTAGTTATCGTGTATAGAATGTTTATGTTTGATTCAGTTTACTGTGCAGAACTAAACAGAAAAAGAAATGCAAGGAGTAGAAGCCTTGAAACTAATAGTGGCAGTTAAGATTTCGATAAGGTTTTTTTTTCTCTCCACATAGATGCCAAAGTAACCTGCTGTCAGGTGTTCTCAGTTAAGTGGGATAGAAGAAAGAGACCCTCCAGTATGTGATAAGGCTTTGTGAGCAGCAGGGTGGACCAGTCTCTATGGACTGAAACACCACCACCATCACCCGTAGCCTTGCAGAAACGTTTTTATTGATTATTATACAAAAGCCTTTTAGCAAATCAATTTCAGAATATCAAAAGCTTATCTGCTCTAGAAGTTGTCTGAGGAACCATTACCTAAGCAATTTTCATTCATTGCAAGAATTCTTGGTTTCCCAGGAATGTCTTGTGACTGAGGTCATACAAAGGCTCTGAAATTTCCAAAGGAAGAGCAACCTCACAAATCTCAGATAACAATCACTGATTATTTACAAAAGATTACTTCAAAGCCTAAATGGCTATCATTTGAACTAAATACCAAGTCCAAAGACTCTTCTAAAATTCTGCTACAACCTGAAGGTATGTTCAATGAGATTGTGCATTCCAGTGTAAAAGAACTAACCTTTATGTGTCTTTTTTAGGATGGCAGGGCTGATGTGGTTGCAAATGATGCAGGGGATAGAGTCACACCAGCCATCGTTGCTTACTCGGAAAATGAACAGGTACTCTCTATTGCCCCCATTTTTGTACTTGAAAATAATGAAAAATCACATGCCTTATAGTTAAAATGCTGCTCTTTTTCAGGTGGTTGGACTGGCAGCAAAACAAAGTAGAATAAGAAATATGTCAAGCACAGTAGTAAAAGTAAAGCAGATCCTTGGCAGAAGGTATGATGTAAAGTACTTCTTAAGATGTGGTAACCAAGAAATACGTTTGTAAAGTTCTAGGCAAAATGAAAGTAGAAACACTACCATTATTGATGATAGTCTTTTAGGAAGTATTCCTGTGTGTTTGCTCAGAAATTTGATACTTGCTAGCAGGTCTGGTAGTATTAATGAGTGCCAATGTTGGTTTACTTTGGGTCATTTGTGTCATTCACAAGTAGTACTTTAGGAATATATATATATATATATATATGTATATATATATACATATACACACACACACACACACACATATATATATATAGATATAGATATAGATATATTGAATGAACTTGAATAGTTTTGTTGGAATTTGAAGATGTCTCTGCATGGTGATTGAGTTTTGCAAAATCTCTTAGAATTGGTCATAATTTATGTAGTTGTTATTGATTTTTCTCCTTGGGGGGCCTTTGTGACTTTCTGGGAACAACTTTGCCAGTTGACTCACAAATGTAATCTTTGGAGAAACAGCTTAATGAATATCTTAAGAAGCAGGTCAGTCATCTGTTGTGACTTTAATTACAAGATTATAGAGGCTTGATCCCCCAGACTTCTGTCTCCTCAAATTATAGATTATCATAATTAGGGCCTTTTCATTTTCTCTGGAATAGTAGGACTTGACAGTGTTTTAAGAGCTTTCACATGTATGATTCCATTGAATCCTCCCAACATCCCCATAAAAATTGGCCTGGTGGATACTATCCTCTGCTGTTCATAGATGAGGAAGTCAAGCCACATGGAATTTTTGACTTTTCCCAATTAAAGAGGTGAATTAGATATTAGATGAGCCTATAGGTCAGGACTCCTAATCCTCAGAGCCACTTTGTCTGATCTACTTTATTTAATTTGAATGTAAAGATTAGACATTTCCTTGTATTGATTGTAAAGTTTAGTGATTGTTAGTTAAATTTAATATTTCATTTACATAGCATGCTTATTTTACTAGCCCTTGCCTGTTTAGTACAGTAAACTTGTTATCACAATATTTAGGACCGAATTTAGATTTTTGTGTTCATGATGATTATACTCTCATATCCTTTAGCTTTAGTAGTTATTTCTAAGTGTATTAAAATGTACTGCTAAGCATATTAAAAATAAATTTGTATCAAATGTTTTTGAATCATAATGGAGAGTTGTGATAGATCTTGAAGCCAGAGTTATTGAGGAGCTAGTAATTTCTTTAATAACCCTCCTCCCTTTAGAGATAACTGTAGTTTATGTGAAAGAAAACAAAGACAACTAGTATATTATTAGATTTACCATTTCCCCATTGGTACCATCATTCAATACTATAGCTAAGTATCACACTTAGACACTAATGTTGATCCAGTCATAACAGAAAACATTACCAAAACTTCCCTGGAAACCAGTGATGTTTTGATTTGTTTCCTTTTTTGCTGCCATGACTGTCATTTATCATATTATGTACTTTGTATTAGCAAACCAGCTTAAGCTCACTTTTCTGGCCTTGAAAGTTAAATCCATTTAGCTTGAATGCAGTAATGAGTCAAGTGGGTAACACATAAACACACTACAATAAATAAACCAAAGTTAGTAAAAGCCGAGTACTGTTTGGACATACCACTAGACCACAGCCCTGCTAGTACTTTTTAATACTCTATTTATTTTCCTCCTTGGCCTAGCTACTTAACTAGACCATGGTCATTTTTATAAGATGTGGTTATATCAGGTCTCAGCTTTGGATACATTTAGTTGTTGTAGAAGAACCAGTCCTTTGTTACCAAGCAACAAAGCCCAAAGTCCAATAGTTCCCATGAATTGATGAACTCCCGAAGCCTTGGCTATATGCCTCTGTGACTTACACACAGGTAGCACTACTTACCTTGCTGCCAGAATGATCCTCACACCTTCCCTATAACTCTCATTCCCCTGTGGCCTTCCAGCCAGAAGTGTGGTCCTCAGACCTGGTTTCTCAGCAATTAGCCCTGAGAGGAAAGAACCGGTTGGCCTCTGGAAATATGCTGAGAGCAGACAGAACTTCCCCACGCCTTCAAAATTGTACTCTGCTACCCAGGAGCTTGCTTCAGTAGCCTTCCTTCCCAGCCCAATATGGCCACCACCAATAGCAGTGCGGGCATCCGTTGGTCCAGACAGGAGACACGAACTCTTCTCTCCATACTAGGTGAGGCAGAGTACATCCAACGCCTCCAAACTATGCATCATAATGCAGATGTGTATCAGGCTGTGTCTAAGCGGATGCAGCAGGAAGGCTTCCGCCGCACCGAACGCCAGTGCCGCTCCAAGTTTAAAGTTCTGAAGGCATTGTATTTAAAGGCCTATGTTGCCCATGCCACAAGTATGGGGGACCCACCACACTGTCCATTTTATGATACATTGGATCAGCTTCTTCGAAATCAGATAGTGACTGACCCAGACAACTTAATGGAGGCTGCTGCTTGGGCCAAGCACTGTGATGAGAATGTAGTGGCCTCTGACACCCCAGGGGAAGAGGAAACCAGCATGTGGAAAGTGAAAAGGATTCAGTCTGCTGGTCATCAGCATATTTTGCAAACAGTTAAGGAATCAGATGAGGATTGTCAGCTGAGAATCAGTGACCGGATTCGAGAAGCCAGTGACCTTAAGGACTCCTGGGATGACTCCTCCCCCGGTGCAGGTAACTGCCAAGCATGAAAGGGACTGGGGCTTAGAGTCACTTGGTCCCAAATAGTGTTAAAAATTTGGACAGCACCCTCTTGACTATAATTGAGACTGATTTCTGTCTCGTTGAACCCCCTTCTTCTACTACTCCAGGAATTTGCAGTGACCTTATGTCAAACTCCTCCCATGTAAAGCATACTAGTTTGGTCATTACTTGTGCATGCCGGGCAAGTGCTCCAACACTGAATGGTGTCCAGCTTTGGTCATTATTTGTAATGGGTACTTAGGAGTACATGGGGGAAAGAATGGGTTGGAGAGCCACATGGAAAGGGTCTTAGAGAACTCACAGGGTCAGTTTTATAGATGATTAAAGAAGCCAAAATATCCACGTTACAGAATAATTTCCTTTTTTTTCCCTTGTGGAAAGAGACTTTCCCAAGCACTACCCTACTTCAACTCTGTTGCTGGCTACAAGCATTCCCTTAGCAGGAATGTCCTCTTTGCAACCCTGTGGCTTTGTTTTTCAGGGTGCTCTCAAGGGACCCCCAGCTACAGCAGCTCCCACCACCTTTTCAGAGGTGCAGTTGCTCCCTGTCAGAGCAGCCCCATGTCCAGACTGGGTGTATCGAGGGAATCCAGTCCCTGCACCAACACCAGCCGAAACCCTCTTGGGGCAGCTTCCACACCACAGCCTCCAGGTCCCTCTTCCAGACTTGCTTTTCTCTCTGGTGGGGACAGACCTCTGAACAGTGAGCCCCCTCCACGGTGGGCAAGGCGAAGAAGGTGCTCAGTGGCCAGGACCATTGCCGCCGAGTTGGCAGAAAACAGGAGGTTGGCACAAGAGCTCTCCAAGAGAGAGGAAGAGAGGTTGGACAGGCTAATCGCTATTGGTGAGGAGGCCAGTGCCCAGCAAGACACTGCTAACGAGCTGCGCAGGGATGCTGCCGTCGCCGTCAGACGCCTAGCGACAGCAGTAGAAGAAGCAACTGCTGCTTTCCAGCTAGGGCTTGAGAAGTTGCTTCAGAGATTGATTTCAAATACCCAAAGCTAGGAACTGGTCGAACGGCTATGTTTCTCATACTGGCACAAGTCTTTTTCTAACAAGTACCTTCTGGAACCCTGGCTCTTTTCTGTGTCTTCAGAAAAAAAGGTAGACGAACTGTTAATATACAGAACAGTAGTGAGTTCCTTTTCCCTTAGATTCTCCACTAATGGAAAGGCAATTGAGGAATGGAAGGGTGGCCTGGTAGAAACCAGAAGGAATGAATCGATAGCTAGCTTGTCCTGGCTTCCTCGCCAGTGTGAGGTAATCTTTACCTCGACAGTAGTCTCCTCATCTGTGGAGGGGATCAGTAGTCTGCCCTGCCCTGCCCTGCCCTGCCTACCTCACAGAGTTGTTGTGAGGATCAAGTGGCTTATAGCTGTGAAAGGGTTCCAGTTATTAACGCATTTGCCCTTGGCTAAGGTGAGGCTGGGGTAAGCACATTCATTTACAGCATACAGAAGTGTAGTGGTGTCCCAGGACCTCATTGCTTGAATCTGTATCAGTTTAATTTGTCTGCCTCTTAGATTGAGATCTTAAGTTCTTGAACCTTCCTGTGGTCACTAGACTAGGCCCTATTGTATTTGTCTTTGTCGCTTACATTTTCATGGCTGAGTCTCTGACATACCCACTAGCAATCACTTATCTTAGTCAAACCAGTGTCCCCTCCTTCATGTTACTGGTTTCCTGGTCTCGTAGAGGTGGGGATCTAATTGAGCACTGTGGGAGGTAAATGTTTCGTATTGGCACACTTTGATATGGTAAAATAGTGACTGTTTTGTAAAGTAAAAAGTGTAAGTAAATTCTTTGCATTTCATATTATTTGAGCCCCTTTAGTTGCATAAGTTGCATGTTTACATTTGTGGTTGCCATGGTAACAACCTGGACCTTGTCCATCTCCAATCTGTTTGTGGCTGATTGCATTTGTCTCTATTAGCTGGCGTTGGGTTTGGGCCCTGACATGTTATTGAGGGCAACTGTTTTGTTTTTCTAAGTGATATAAACAAAGAGTTCATAGGGCTAATGGGTGTGGTGGAAGGCAGCAGCTCTGTTTGCCCTTTAGTTTTGAGAGGTGATAAAGGCTGCTCCCCAGAGAGAGCTCTCTAAGCTCAGCCCTCACCCAGGCCTACATCCCTGAAGGGAGGTGGTGATGATAATTACCTGCAGTGTTACTGACCTTCACTCAACTTGTTCTTAGTGAGTGGGTTTTGTAGTACTTTACAAAACACAGTAAGAATCTTGGGGTTTAAGTGCCCTCCTGCAAGTTGGAAACTTGGGAGAAAATGAGCAGGTATGTTGAGAGGTTTGGTGGGGATAGGGGTGTTGCAGTCAGGTGCTTACTTGGAAGCTGGAAATGTAAATTTGTAAAGAAAAGGACAAAACAATGGTAGGACCTCCCAGGAACCATGGATAGGTGGCAAGGAGCAAGCTGCTGTAAGATTGAGCACTGGCTACATGAGTAGTATGTGTTGTGGAATACACTGGAATCTAGTTAGAACTCCCATACTCCAGTCCTGTCACAGTTGTTTTCATTGTGTGAACCACTTAACCCTTTTTGTGCCTCACTTTTTTAAAAAAAAAAATCTCTTTAAGTTGAGGAATTTCTACTAGATAATCTTTATAGTAAATTTCAGTTCTAGAATGGGTAAAAATGAAGGTGAGCTATTTATAATGTGTTCAGTCAGCAGTAAATATTGTTTGCAATTGTATTGAAGGACACCTGCTATGGTATTGATGTTTCTTGTGCAGATGGAAGTTCTGAGTGTCATACTGAACATCCGTAGATGCCTTCCTTTCATTGAAGTGGATATAGAAGTGTACATCTCTTATTTTGGACCATGATGTGGAAAGGTGCATATCTGTTTTAACCAGATAAGGCTAATACTGATAGATAATAAGTTTTCTGAGGAAAAATAAACCCAAAAAACAGAGAAGTACTTTAAGGAGACAGACCTGTGCCCTATTACTCTAATGATGACAGTATGTAGATGGGCATCTGTGTGATATGAAAGAATGCTAAGGAACAGAAGTGGAGTTAAATTTGAGGTATCTTGAAACCCCTAATGGGCAGAGTAACCAAAACAAGGGAATAAAACTCACAGTCCTGAGGAGTTAACAAGAAAACATGCAGAATACTAAAGGAGACCGTGCAATAGTAGAGACCATGTACAAGAAAGAGGCCTGAGCTGCGGTCTACCCATTACCTCCTCCAACAAGCCTTTCACCACTCTGTAACTCAGGTTCTTCATCTGACGAGGGAACTACCAATTGTCCGTCCTACCTACCTCACAGGGGTGTTGTGAGGGTCCAGCGCACAGATGAATGTACATTTAGATGTATAGGCACTGGAATGTAACAGGAGTACGGAAGGAGACTCCATGGCACCTGAGTGCTAATGTTGGCAAACCCAGCGTCCCTGATAACTGTAAGAGAGAGATACTTGAGAAAGTGGACATGGCATTGCAGGAAAAATGTTGTGATATAGGATCAACACTTCCTGAGGGCCACATTGTGAATGAGGTGCTGTTTATGGCAGCTTCCCATCACCTTTGGTTTTCTGTTACATAACTTAATCCTGCTGTGAACAAATAAAGTTTTGACTTGTGTGGAGTTGTAGGTCTGTCCACTATTTCTGATGATAACTCCTTTGTCACCTCCATCCTGATTTCTGAGTCTAGCCATGAGTCTCTAGTGTCATTATGTGTTGCCCCCCCTCCCATGCTACATGTGCATCCTGTCCTCAGATGAAAGGGGCCCTCTTTGCATGCCAGTTGGAGATGAATTTCTATAAAATACCCTTCATTGAAAATGACCTTATGCTATTGGTTAATATCTTAAACTCTATACAGTAGATATCCCTGGCCAACTTGAATTCTGTTCCAAATATATAATTATGGAGAACTTAGAACCCTCACTTAAAATATCTGGAATGAGGGCCACATGGTTAAGAAAGCAAGAGGGCCAGGCAGTTTCATGGGAAAAAAAATACTAAATCCTACACTGTAGATCTGGTTGTTGGCCAATTAGATCATTAGCTGTGACATGGGGCAAGCTTACCTGTGGCCAGTACTAATTATTTCTCAACTAATTTTTTGGAAATAGAAAAGTAAGATGAACCCACATGTGAGTCCTGAGTTCTAGACCAAATTAGCCGATTTTTTTTTTTTAAGCTTTTGTTAAATTTTAAGTGGAAGTTCTTACTAGTGACGTGGGCGCCATATGTAAGGAGTAAGGTTTTTTCTGCCCGCTGCCGGTCTTGTCCCACTGCCACGCCAGCCCCAAATAACACACAGAGACTCTGTATTTGATATAATTCTGTTACTAGTTTCTTATCATCTAGCTCTGTCTTAATTATTAACCCATTCCTATTAATCTATGTATTTCCACGTGGTCTCATCTTACCGAGAGCCGGTGTCCTGCTCTCTCCAGACTCTCCATCCTGACTCCTCCTTACTACCTCTTTCCTCCTTGTCTCCTAGTCCCTCCTATCTTCCTTTCCTATTGGCCAGCAGTGCTTTTATTCATTAACCAGTATGAAAAACATATATACATAATGGCATCTCCCATCATAAATCCTTTTTTGTCCCCTCAGATGGCAGGGCTTAAGGTTTCCAAATGACCCCTGGCCCGCTGTTGGCTCCTATTAAGCTTTCAATATTGTGTATGGAGAATAGCCACAGCTCCTTAGAAGACTGCTAAGAAGGTGCAGACCATTGTTCAGCTTCACATGAAACTGACCGAAGGATCAGAGTTTCCATCTGTCTTTGAGGAACAGAATTAGTAGTCATTTACAATGTTGCTGGAAGGCTGCTGAATGAAGTCCTGGTCTTGTCCCCATTAGCCTGTAAATAACCACCCCTGTCTGAACATAAAATAATACACCAAACCTGTCCCATGTTGTATTATGAGGCCTAAATGGGTGGTAAGTTTGAAAATAGTGTTAACTGCATACATTAGTATTAACATCTTAGTGACATACCTATTTTTGCATTTCATAGATGCAGCTATTTGGTATTTTATGTGGGGTGTCAACATATATCTATTGGTACAACTTTTCATATATAGCATCTATACACACACACACACACACACATATATACACACACACACACACACACACACACTGTTGCTCAATATTTTGGTTTTGGGTGTTAATTTTCATGTATAGAAACCAACAAATGAGGGGTTAGGTCTTTACCCTTAGGCCTTATCTTCTCTTGTCCTTTGTTTTTCACTGGTTGGGTCTTCAGGATCATAGGTGTGAAAGTCTAGGGTATAAGATCATCAATCACATTCAGACTCATTCAAAAATATATGGCAAGATCAGACAAGAAAGTCAGTTACTGGGGGCTGGAGATAGGACCCTATGGTTAAGAGTTCTGGTTGCTCTTCCAGAGGACCTGGGTTCAATTCCCAACACCCACATGGCAGCTCACAACTGTCTGTAACTGCAGTTCCAAGGGACCTGACACCCATAGCAAAATACCAATGCATATAAATAAAATAAAAAAATAAAAAAAATTACTTCCAAATGCAAAGAATAACCATTGTAAATCATTAAATTCAAGATTCTGTTATTGAATAGTTTAATAATTTTGTTGATGTATTTTTTTGATCTATTCAGTGATGTGAGAATTACAGTCTTCTTTAAGCCTTATGAAGCTACAATATTAATTTTTTAATGCTGAGGTATCTATCTCTTTATGAACAGCCCTGCTGACCTACAAGCTCAGAAATACATCTCAGAAAGTAAATGTTCAGTGAGTATGGTTCTTTTATTCTTTCCCCCTTACTCAAAGTAATTAATTGCAAAAGATCATGATGTACAATGTTACTGAAATTCACTTAAAGTTTTTATCCAAATTAGTCTATATTTGGCATAATTGTAATTTTTTAGGTCATTGAGAAAAACGGGAAATTGCGATATGAAATAGATACTGGAGAAGAAACAAAACTTGTTAATCCAGAAGATGTTGCCAGACTGATATTCAGTAAAATGAAAGGTACTGCACAAAATTTAACTGTTAACTTATTTTATTTTGCAATTTCTTATAAAAAAAATATATATGTATATATATATATATAAATA